AGATGAAATTGTTTTTTATTATTGCCTGTGTTCTAAAATCAGTAAAACATGTCAGGCATATTAAGGTTCAATATAGGATACAAGTTTTTAATTCCTGTCTGAATTAATGTATATTTTCTATGACAATTTAAAAGAATGTATAAACATAAAAATGTTAAAAATAAATATATATATATATATAAATATATATATTTATTATATAATAACTAAATTTTTACAATATATATTTTATATATATTTATTGTTTATGTTATTTTTATACGATACAGATATTTAATAAATTTCTTAAACATATAAAATATATTTAATCACATTTACCAACCTGAATTTCTGTTTTACAAATAGAAAATATGAAATTCAGAAAGGATTTTAACCTCATATTTTAAAATTCTGTCTAATTTTCATAACATGTACATAACGTCCTTCGATGGTCACCTTTTTGATAAATTTCTAACAAAAGGCTATATTTCAAATATGTGTAGAATGTGGTTTGATTCCTTATATCAGGCTTTTCCATGAGATATATAGATATTAAAGTTAAAAAATAAAAAATAAATACGTCCGACAAATGGAACCTGTATCCTACACATAATCATCATTTATCTATGTGCTATACCATTTAGCTATAATGAATAATTGGTTAAAAAATTAACGTATTTTTAATACAAATTCCCAATGATTGTCAAAAAAGATGTGATCATCTGTTTTAAATGGTATAGCATGTCAGTTTATTTGACAGTTCCATGCTGGATACAACTTCAGTTCTTGTCAGAGGACACATATTTTTGTATTTATTTAACGGACATTCAGGCCAGTAAAAACCTTCCTAATACTGTTTATTATAAACTGAGCATTTACTTAAATATTTGTATCTATAAAATCTGTTATAAACAATAAATATATTAAAATAATTGTCAAACTTTGTCCATTTCATTCAATATAAAAACAAGATGGATAGAATTTCAATTGATGAAAACAGATGAATTTGCTGTTTTAATTTCTGTTGGATTCATTGATCACTTACATACAAATACCCTTGGGAAATTGGAACCTTTATTTTTGTGTAAATCAGACAGCAAGTGTCTTGCTAGAACAATTTTACGACTTTTGTTCAATCCTAGACCAGAAAATACTTCTTTCCTTGTGCCACAATTTAGTTTAATGAAAAATTTTAAAATTCATATATCCTTTTTTCTAAGGTATAAATCCATCTCTTATCCCTCCCAGCTACAGGTAAATAGCAGCATAGGCAGGATCCTATAGCTTTGGATCGCAACTGGTTCAATGTATAAATAATATATATATATATATATACTCAGATGATTTGATGATATTGGTGAAGGCTTGCTCAAAACCAACTAAACTTTTCAGAAGAACTGAATGCAGAAAACTGACACACATTGCATACCACAAGGTTTCTAAACAACCCTCATCAGATTTTGAATTCAGAGTTTTCCTTCTCATAGACTGGCAGCTTGAAAGCCTAGTCTGTCCTGCCATTTAATACATAGCTGGGGGGAAGAGAAATGGATTCATACCTTTCCCAAGGATATTTGTGCAAAATTAAATATAACAAACTTGGCCAGAACTTGAACTCAGTACACTGATTTTGTAACACTATTTCCAAAGGAGGCACAATGGAGTAATGGATATCGACTCAGACTGAGGAATCAGAGAGCCGAGTTCAAATTCCAGCCGAATCCATTACATTTTTTATTTTCATGCTAATAAAATTTGTAGGTGCCTTTTGAATCCTCTAGTTTAGTTCTCCAAAAATTGGCAAATAATGGCAAACAGACCAGGTTCTATATCTCTGGATGGTATCTGGTCTACTTGAAAAGAAATGGCAAACCTAAAATGGAAGAAAAAAAATATGCCTCGTCAGTCACGTATTGAAAGATATATGCTCGAATATTACGTGTTTTATGATGGCACATCACTGACTGAAATTCAAAAACATGCTAATAATCTTCCCTTGTTTATATATGAAGAGCCTTTTCTTCTGACACCAGCTATGGGTAAATAGACAGGACCTAGACTGGGTTTTATAGCCTTTATATGTGGAACTGGTCTTCGCAGAAAGATCCATTTTCAACCTAATGTGGGAAAATAATCTGCTCATCAGTCATGCATCGAAAGATACAAATTCGATCCAGTTTGGTATCATGCTTGACACATAACTGACTGGAAAGCCACTATCCAAAATGCTAACATAATATTACGTTCTTACATTTCTAAAAGTCTTAATATTTTAAAGATATGAAATGTTAAAATAATTAGTTAGATGCTCATTATTAGATTATTATTACAATTCATTTCTGTTGTGTGTAACCATACAAATGATTTAGTCTAGATTCAGTTTGGTTACAAGAAGAAATTTCTAGAACCTATCCATATTGTTAATTTTTAAAAATTCAGTGAACTTGGACCTTCATAACTGCAAAAAAGTGGAGTGTCAAAAGGATGGTTTTTCCCTTGACACTGCTATCATTTTAACTACCTTCACTCCTATGCAATGTTTTAAAATAATCTATGTTTAAAATAGGATTAGAAAAAAACCTAAACATATAGAAAATGAAATTATTATTTTTTATTCTAAGAGAATTTAAAAACAAAAATACAGGTGTCCATAAAGTTCGTGTGCACTTTAAAAAATTTATAACTTTATTTGTATTTGCGATAGAAATAATTTGTAAAAAGGATTAGAAAGAAGTAAATCTATATTTTTTAAGGTTTTATTGAAATTTTATTTAAGTTTCCACATGTCCTCCATCATTAGCAATACAAAAGGGTAATACGATTTTGCAGTTCACGGAAAACATTTACCAACTGATTGACAGTAATGCCTGAAATCACATTAGTTATTTTAGCTATACTTAAAACTAGGTACATTAAACTTTATAACATTTTTTACAGATTATTTCTATCGCAAATGCAAATAAAATTATAAATTTTTCAAGTGCACACGAACTTTATGGACACTGTATTAAACACTATTAGATTGTTTATTCAACCTGCATCATTTGTGATGTGGTTTTACCAATCATTGAATCATTAATTAAAACTCTAAAGTCATTAAAAGAAATGAAAAAATGCTTAACACTCTCTGACCATTATGGAAAAGTCAGTCTTCCATTAAAAAAAAAAAAACTACTGTAATTCCACATGCCTTCATCCATAATATGCACCCCTAAAATTGTGCTGAAAGTGTGAGAAAATGCTTCTACTCATGCATGATTGGTAATGAAACCCTATAAATTGTATGTCTCCAATTTCATTATGCCCAGCATTTTCTACTCTTATTCAAGCTGTAATTGAAGATATTTATCAAAATTTCCGATTATCATGATTCTCAAAGGAAACGGAAATACCTATATTGTGCCTACTGCACAGACTCATTAACCTGTTTTTGTTCGATAAAATGTGCAATCTATTGGATTTGTATGTATTTTTTCACTAAAAATGTTTTTAAACATGGAATAATATTCTAATTTATTTCTATGATAATTCTTATTTAATTTACATTTGTAAATATTGTTAGGTACATCTGATTGTATTTGACATCCCTATGGGGTCGCATGAATGTTAGTGTCAAATTGTCATGTTTGTGGTAAGTAGTCATTTCGCAACTGAAATCGACCTATGAAATGGCAATCTTTTAAAGATATCTTTGCAGCTGTGCATAATAGGCACCCCTAATTTTGCTTATTATTTTTTGGGAAAAAAATGCGTATTATACATGAGGAAATTATGGTACTCTTAATTTTATTTTTGGTTACAGGATACAGAGGATCTTTCTTACAAATTTATTGAGATGGAAGGTTTGATGGAGAAACTTCCCATGAACAAGAAAAAAGCTACGTTGTTAAAGACCTGGAAACGTAGATATTTCCGAGCAAAGAATGGCTGGTTAGTTTATTATGATGTAAGTACAAATTTCTCTTATTTTTTTTTTTTATTTTTTTTTATTTCATGCTTTCAGAGCTGGCATCAGCATAGTTGCACCCTAGGCCAGCCTTATAATGTGTGGTCCCATCTCCCCACTTTCATAAAATAATTATAGTAGAATAATTGAAATATGCCATATTAAGTAGAATAACTATTTTAGGTGCTAAAATCCTCATCCTGCTTAATTTGGACCAATGTCATACACTCAGCAATTTTAGTGCCCTTGGTGATTTTATCACCTGAGGAGATTACCTAGTTCTTATGGTGTGTGGCAATGCCTTTGTGTAGTTGGATTACATCTAGTCTTTATTCTTGCTGTTTAAGTCTCATTATTTCTAGATTTTCTCAAATGTATGGTATATGAATTGTTTTTCCCAGTTTTTTTTTTCCTTTATTTTTTTATGTTCTCTTTATCTTTATTTCTCTCTGAGATTGTATTAGAATTTAGCTTCAAATCTCTTTGCCGATTCCAATCTGCTAGGAATGACTGCAAAACACTTGCCCCCTCTCCAATTTATAGGCAGAAGCACAAAAATGCATGCTGGGATTTTTCCTAGTCAATAAAATAGACTGGTTCTTGGTTTCATCTGACTCAGTCCTGGTCTGTCTTGTTTTGAAGTCAGAACATTATATTCATTTGTGTCAACCCCAATTCATTTATTTGAATTTGCTTGTGTATGTCAACCTCAATCTTTAGTTTATTAACTTTTTGCCATATTGCTTTTTTTTGCCTTATTATGTTAATTTGTCTTGTATATATTATTTACTTGCTTTATATTATTTTTTGCCCTGTTCTTTTCTTTTTCTTATTATTGCTTATTAAAAACTTTATCAATTTTGTTTGTTAGACAGTTCTATCACTTATTTTGCATTTAGCCATGGCTACTCCACAGTAATGTTTTATATTTGTTTTGATTTGCTTTGAGGAATGTCCCTTGCAAGCAGATAATTGTTGGGAAAAACTCATGGTAAGTAGTAGTAGTTCATTGAAGTTAGCCTTCAACTGCCTGCTATTCCATTTGGATTATCTTATTTGCCATGATTTGATTTTTTTTCTTGCCAATAAAACAAACCAATTCTTGGTTTCATATCCTCATCCTGCTTAATTTGAACCAATGTCAGACACTCAGCAACATAGTGCCATTGGTGATTTTAGCACCTGAGGAGATTGCTTAGTTCTTATGGTGTGTAGCAATGCCTTTGTGTAGTTAGATTACATCTAGTCTTTATTCTTGCTGTTTAAGTCTCAATATTTCTAGGTTTTCTCAAATGTGTGGTATATGAACTATTCTTTTTCCATTTTTTTCTCTTTCTTTCTCTCCAAATCTATCTCTCTTTGAGATCTTTCTATAATTTAGCTTTAAAACTCTTCCTGCAGATGGACTTGAATGAATGTCTTCTTCTGATATGTGACATGTCCCTTCAGAGTGTGGGCAATCATGGCTCTCTACAACTCCCTATTCACTGTAGCTCTCAATAAATTTTGTCTTTTCATCATCTCTCCCAAACTCTGTTCCAACATACATTCACCCAAGCTCACCAGGTAGATTATGCGTTGTTTTCTTTTGTCTTTCTTGCTTTCAATCTGTCCATTCAGTATCAGATTTACCAAGCTCTCTTTCCTCATTTTGTTCCCTAGAGATTTCAACTGTCACTGTTAAGTATAAGTGTCCTTTTGTTTCTATTGTGTATAGAACCTCATTGCTCACATGTTCATTCTATGGTATTCTCAGCATCCTTCTGTAGAGCCACATTTCAGTTCCTTTAAGTCTCTTCTTACATATGTGAAAACGGCCATAGAAAATGTCAGCTGAAATATTAGGAAAAAACAAGGATGTGAGATGCAATTCTAAACAGCTTGTGTGGTAATGACGATGATTCACTTCAGATAATGAACAAGGAATACATCAGCTGAAATCTTGCCAGCTGAAGTCTGAATGACTTTAGAATAATGGCAATGGCTTATCTCAGAATTTCAAACAATACCCACTTTTTCCCTTTCTCAAATATTGTTAAGTGTTTGAACAAATGAGCCCTTTAATCTATACGAGAACTAATCAATGACTCCCATCAATGAATGTTGTGTGACTCAAAGTTAACGATTTTTTTTGCTTAGTTGCACAGTCTGTTACTTAGAGATGAAAAAAAGTTGTTTCTTTTTATAGATGGCATTTTTTTAATGGGTCGTTTTATCTGAAAAAAACATGTCAGGTTGTCCTGATTGATCAAGAGTGATACAGTAAATAAAAAAAAATGAAAAGAATTGGAAAAAATCTTAGAGTATAAAATTTATTTTTATCACAGAACAATTATTTTTTACAATTTTTTTTTTTTTTTTTTGAGAAGATTCTATTTATTTTATTTTGTAACTTCCATTTGTTTTAAACTGGTTATAGTGTGCATTGTTTAAATAGGTGAATCAGTTGTGATTTTGGATAATAGTTGACTGATTTTTAAACTGTCTAAAAATTAAAACAGTGTAATTTGTTTAGATAAGGGACAATAGTTAATATTTATGACAAATATCTCCTGGTCATCAATAAAGGCAGCCATATTGAATATATTAACCTTGATATAATTTAGCAACCAATTAGAATCTTTTTCTTCAGGACATGGGCAATCTGAACAACTCCCTCTTTGTAGCTTTTAGCAACAATTTTCTTTTTTTAATATCCCTCCCACTTTCTGTTCTGACATCCATCTATATTAGGATAGGTTGATTTTTCACGTTTTTTAGAAAATCAATATTGCACTCCAAGTGAAAGCTGGAGTTTGATATGATAAGTTCTGCGTGTATGTTTCTATGTGCCTACCTCTGATGGTCACACCTTGTATGCTAGAGGGGTTTACGTGGTCCATTGACTGAGAGCAATGCTGTCAGGAGTTCTAAATTCCTGGTAGGGCCACCTTTGGCAGCAAGATTGAAGACGAGGACCCAGACCAAGCGCAGCCAACCCCAAACGTTAAAACAAGCAGATGACAATGACAACAGATCTCAAAAGTTGAACCAGCAGATAAAGAGGATGCTACATGACAGTCAGTGGTTGTCCATTGCAGTTTTATAATTGAATTCTGCATGTCTTATTCCATATGTGCCTCTGAGGAAGGTCATAAAATCAAATGTGTGGGTCACTTCCTGGCAAGTTGAGGTCCACCTTAAACAAATTCATGCCATTGGTACTTTCTTCTACTGTGGTTTTCTTTTACCTCCAACCAATTCTTGCAAAGCCAAACGGCAATAGAGAATGGATGACAGGAGCAGGTTTTGGTGACACTGGAAGCTTCTAGTCCTGAACTTGCACATTAGTGGTGAATTTCATCATCAACACCATCATCATAAAGGAAGGCAATCAGCAAAGAAGAAATTGAATTCTTGGATACAAGATAAAGCCAATGCTAGTTTGGTAATGTTTTCCTCTGCTCCTCTTGCCTTCAGTATATCTTTTGAGTGTTAAACTTGCCATGACTTCTTTCCTCATTATGTAACTATCTCTTTCTAATGCTTAAGTGCAATTGTTCTTTTTATAATTTTCCTGAAAACTTTCCATATTGCTCACAGATTCTGTCCATAGAGTTCTCAGCATCCTCCTGTAAGACTGCATCACTGTTGACTCATATCCTCTGCATCTGTGAGGAAATTGACCAGCATTCACATCTAGGAGGACTGATATTACATCAAAATTCATTACTCTTTTCTCTGTTTCTATCAAAATTTTCCTGTTTCTTAATATTTGCTTAGCTTTTGGAAGCCATCTTTAGTTATTTCAATGTAGCTCCAAATTTTGGAAAGGGCAGTTAGAGGATGTTGAGTGAGGTTGTGTACTGTGTGACTGCCACATTTACAGTGACCAAGCTTGTTAGCCACTCATATCTTTTGAAACTTTTGTTGGCAGAACATTGTATCACCCAGGTCCATTGTCTCCCTTATCATACTTATTATAAAACCCAGGTTGTGTGTGTGTGTGTGTGTGTGTGTGTGTGTGTCTGTTCATTTATATATTGGATCGGATTTCCTACATTTTTCAACTGATTTCAACAAAACTTCACAGGACTACATAAAATTACCTTGTGGTGGTTCTGACAGCACCAAAAATTGGAAAAACACAATTGTTTTTGCACAAAATCAATTTGAAAACACGATTAAGAGGCATCACTGTCGCGAGAATGAAAGGGGGACAATTCATATTGAGTTATACTTATTATAAAACCCAGGTTGTTTGTGTGTGTGTGTTCCTTTATATATGGGATCAGATTTCCTACATTTTTCAATCGATTTCAACAAAACTTCACTTTTTTTTGGCAGGTAGTGTTTCTTATTGTCTTACACACTTTTTTCTTTATTTTTACATTCAGAATGCTTTAAAAATTCCATTTACAAGACAATTGTTTATAATAAAATTCTATTCCATCGGTAGACTCATAACGATTGAAAACAATGTTTTTGTTTGAGTTAGGGCTTGACCAATTCGTAAAAAAAACAAAAAAAAAAAAAACTAATTAAGACATGCGTGTTCGTCAACCTTCTTTGTCAATTTTATTTTTCAGTCTTTATGATGGTCGATACTTGATCTATCTCTTACTGTTACATCCCCGGGCAATGCCGGGCTCTACTGCTAGTAATTTATATTTGGTTTGTTGCATCAGCTGGCCTTTTTCAAAGCTTGAAAATTCATGGACAAGATTAATCAAAATTGTTTAAAAAGCAGGGAAAAGGGGATGCTGTGATAAATGTGTGAGATCACAAGGAGAGTAGTTTGAAGAAGATTAAGGCCCAATTGCCCTAAGTATATACAGAACATTCAGACAATTTGTATATAACTTTTGTCTAGAAGAGAAGAAAATTATAAGACCACAAGTAAAATTAAATAAAATCCTAACTACAATATCTGGTCAGTCATTTTTAATGAAACATATAGTAGTGATAACTCCAACCTAAATATATGCTATTCAGCTTTAGCTTGTTTGTTTTTTATAAACAAAAGATAGTGGAATGGTTTCACACATTCCCTTTTCCTTATTATTCACAAATTGCCTTGCATTTTTGGGAAAGATAGTGGAGTGGTTTCCCGTTGCCCTCTTCACAGATTCCTTTTTCTTTATTATCCACAAATTGCCTTGCATTTTTGGGAAAGATAGTGGAGTGGTTTCCCGTTGCTCTCTTCACAGATTCCCTTTTCCTTATTATCCGTAAATTGCCTTGCATTTTTGGGAAAGATAGTGCAGTGGTTTCCTATTGCTCTCTTCACAGATTTCTTTTTCTTTATTCTCCGCAAATTGCCTTGCATTTTTGGGAAAGATAGTGGAGTGGTTTCCCGTTGCTCTCTTCACAGATTCCCTTTTCCTTATTATCCGCAAATTGCCTTGCATTTTTGGGAAAGATAGTGCAGTGGTTTCCCGTTGCCTTTGTAATGAATTGCTTGTGCCAACACAATGATAACATGAGACTTAACTTGAATCTTTTGTATTTAACTTTATATTTTATTCAACTCCTTCATCAATTTCCATTTGCCAGTTTTGGGGTTTTTTTTGGTTTTTTTTTTTGAAAGTCTAAATGATCCTTTTCCTCTCACCATTGCTCCATTAGAAAGACAGTGGTGCTGACAAAAAATGATTTTTAACCTGTTCTCTTTTTATCTGAATAACACAAACATTTTTTTGATGATTCTTACAACAAATGATGTCAAGATAACTAAATGTCTTATCTGAAAACCCCAAAAAAGTAACAATTAGTTTAGCAGTTTTTTAGATATTCAATAATTTATCGGATGGATAATTATGCTGTTACATGATTTGGACAATTTTGTTGTTATACCTGGTATATATAGGGTTTTGTTTACAGTCTTGGTTTTCGGCATTTACTGAAGGTCTTGGAAGATACACAGTCTGTATAAAAGAACAGACACCTGTAAGCTTGGAGCCTTTTCCTGGGGCTAAACTTTGATATTTTTTTTTTTTTTAGAATCGGAATGATGAGAAGCCAAGTGATGAACTTTTATTAATGGGTGGCCAAATCCATGCCATGGGAAACCAAGTGATTGGTATTGACGATGGGGTAAGTCCCTGTTTTTTTTCATTTATTCTTTCCTTCTTTCTTTTCAATTATTTGTTCTTTCTTTCTTTTTATTTATTCATTCTTCCTTCGTTTATTTCCTTTTATTTCTTTATTTCTTCTTGTTTTCATTCATTCCTTCTTTTCATTTATTCATTCTTTTTCAAATATTCTTTCCCTTTTTGCTTCCTTTTATTTATTAATTCCTTCATTTCATTTTATTTGTTCATTCATTTCTGCTTTTCATTTATTCATTCCATCCTTCATTCTTTACCTCTTTTCATTGCGTCCTTCGTTCTTTACCTCTTTTCATTCCGTCCTTCATTCTTTACCTCTCTTCATTCCGTCCTTCATTCTTTGAAATTCATTTCGTCCTTCATTCTTTACCTCTATTCATTTCGTCCTTCATTCTTTACCTCTCTTCATTCCGTCCTTCATTCTTTACCTCTCTTCATTTCGTCCTTCATTCTTTACCTCTATTCATTTCGTCCTTCATTCTTTACCTCTCTTCATTCCGTCCTTCATTCTTTACCTCTCTTCATTTCGTCCTTCATTCTTTACCTCTCTTCATTCTTTACCACTTTTCATTTACTTCTTCCTTCTTCTTTTGAAATTCACTCGTTTAATAATCATTTTTTAAATACCTCTTTTGATATTCATTCTTTTGAATTCCTTCTTTTATATAAATCATCTTTTTTATCACTCATTCATTTTATATTCATTCTTTACATAACTCCTTTACTTTATTACTTTTTACATTCTTTCATTATAACTTCATTTATTCCTACTTTTAATATATATTTTTTATTATTCATATTTTTTTTCTTCTTTAGCGTAGAAATCTGTTTACATTTATTTTAAACATTATTTTTATTTTCTTTTAAAATCACCATTGATCCCGTCTCATAAAGTCACTCTTTAAAGATATTAGGGAACCCGAACTATGTAATATATCAAACACATCATATATATATATATATATATATATATATATATATTGAACATGTCATATATATATCAAACGTGTCACAGGATACATGCTAGAAAAAAAAAATATATGAGCAACATACTGTGCCCCACTTAAGTTTTAATTAAGGTTTGATTAAATGATATCAATTGTGACAAAAAGCGAAATTGAAGTTAAAACTTTAATAAAGAATTTTTTGTAAAGTTATCACTGTTCAATTCAATTCGGCATAATCTTTCTTTGTATACACAACCAATCTCAGTAGTTTGTTTACATTTATTTTGCACACAATTTTTATTTTCTTTTAAAAATCACCATTGTTTAGGATTCCTTCACATAAAGTCACTCTTAAAAGACATTAGGGAACATGAACTATGTTATATTTCAAATACATCATAGTACTTGCATTATTTACATTAATCAGACTGTTATCCTTATCTTCATTGCCATATTCACAATGTTTTGGCTGTTATATGCTCCAGCCTTTTTCAGGGAATTAGAATTTTGAACTGAACCCTTTATTTTGTCCACCAGAGTAGATTGTTCTAGTTCCACATTCCATGACTGTTCAGGATGTTTCTCAGTTATTTCCCTTTTAACTCTCTAAGTTTCTTGGTTCACCAATGCTGTAGCCTGGTATTGAACTCACAACTCTTTGAGTCTAGTCACCGGATCTAACCAACATCTTTATCACAGAGCCAAAATCTTGTGAATATGACACTGAAGATGAGGATAACAGTCTGAATAATGTAAATAATGCAAGTAATCATAATACCTCATCTCAGAGATATAGACATCATAGTACGCATGCTAGAAAAAGAAAAAAAAATATATGGGCAACATACTGTGTCCCGATTTAGTTTTAATTATGGTTTAATATCAATTGCAATTGCACCAAAGAGTGAAATTAAAGTTAAACAGAATAAATTAAATTGTTTTTTTAAACCTTTTACTCTGTTTGATATCTAAATTTAGCTTTAAATGAGTTATTTATTTCATTTTTAATCATGTGTATCTACAGTAGTTACTACCTGTTGCTTATGATTTGCTGAGATTAAAAAATGGACAGACAAACACACATACACTGCATATATAGATATAGATTCTTTTTTCTTTTTTTGATATTTATTTACTATTCGTTCTTTAAATCCTTTTTTATTTTCACTCTTTAATAATTCCTTTTTTTGTTGAACTATCATTGATAAAAAGTTGCAGATAAAAGATTTGTATGTGAATATCTGCAACTTTTTATCCAATGATAGTTCAACAAAAAATGCAAAGTTCTTTCCTTCTCTCTTATATATAATGAGTAAATTTGCATCCAGGTTCCTAGAACATTTCACCAATTTTGGCAGATCTTCTGTTATCACAATGTAGGTTATTTAATAACAAAAATGGTGGAGAAAAAGAATCTAAATAAAAATTGGCTAGATTTTATACCTGAGACGCAAATATTAATAAAAATCATCTTTTAAATTAAAAATTCCCAGCATACTTAGTCTGATAAAGTCTTAAAGAATTAAATGCATCACATGAAAAAACTTTTCCACTTTTTCATATATCTTTTGCCCATATGCATAAAAGTGAACACTGAAGTCAACAACAAGTGGTAATAATCTTTTTCATGCTTAAATGTGATCTTCAGGCTATATATTTTATATTTACATACAATATATCTCTAATATTAAACACTTTTATGCATAAATATAACATACCTTAAAACTATATTTTTATACTATAATTATTTTTTTTAAAAATATGATTCCATCACTACATAAGAGTTCTCATGTTTCAAAAATAGTAGCTAAAAAACAAGCCCTATTTCATCTGCAAGTAAATTTTAGAATAACTAATCTTGAAATTTACGGAACTTTATGAGCATATACTTTCGTAATAATAATTACATGAAAACAGTGAAACCGATTATTTTAATAAGGGGCCAAAAGGTGAACATATTGTATCAACATATTAGTTACTTTCGGAAAGATGTTATGTTAAGGTAGGGTCGTGGTGTCTATTTTCAAGCGAATGATGACATCAGTTTGAAACATATCGTCTGGTCTGTTTCAATGACAAAGAGTTGTTAGCAATATTGTTATGCCATTAAATTTGTATTTGTATACCTTAATTTTTTTTTTTTCTAAAAGAGTTGTTTGTATATAAATACATCGTATTGAACTACAATTTGTTTTTTGATGACTTCATAAAGAGTGTTTTTATCTGATGATTGGGTTGGGCTTTTAAACCTTTTGCTTGAAATTGAAATTGTTTATAGATGATGAAATTTAAAAATTTTTAAGCTAATTAAATTGAAAATTTGTTGATGTCAGCAAAAAACCGTTAACTTATGTCTATGATTTAATAAATTTTCATTTTTTAGAAATTTAATATTTAATTTCCTATTTTTCTATATATTTGCACACACATGCATACATATAAAAATATATATATATATATATATATATATATATATAAGATGAGAACAAATAGAGTGCAATTCCAATGTTTGTAACATTTAATTTAAAAGAAGGCTCAATACAAAGTAGAGCAATATTCTTTATTTTAGGATATTACATCAAAAGCATGTCAAAATCGCTACACAGTTGCAGTCGTGTTTCAATGCGCATACAATGCATTTTATCAGGTGATTGTAAAATACTGGCGAGTGAACAATTTAATCAGATTTAAAAGCAAAATACAGCCTCTTTTTATGAAAAAAAAAAAGAAAAGAGATGGGATGGTTATAAGATTGTGGGCTTAGCTTAGATCAACCAATCAATTATGACCTATGTTAAGTTTAAACTAAGGGAAGAAGCAAAAATTAAGAAATTATTTTCCATAATTGGGTCATGACCTGTAGGTTTGAAATCATTGACAACAACAGATGGCAAACAGGAGTGAATTTGGATGGATACATGTTGTACATTTAGACTATGTCATTTCCTAAGAAAAATTAAGTAGCAATCTAACAAAATGCTAGACAGGTTATATGCTTTGTGAGTTTCCCACATAAAAAACAATTTTTATAGTTGATAATTAAATGTCATTTTTAAGAAAACAATAAATAGTTTAAATCCATCGATTTACTTGGTAAATTAATATGCAACTGTTGACTAAAGATTCTTTATATAAGATGTTAATAACAAATACCAATCAATGTAAAATGTCAAAATACCAACCAAATATCAATACATCCATACAAGAAGTTACTAATACTACCATTAATACCAAATTATATTAAATGTAAATTAATACTAATAGAAAGATAAGCCATATATAGTGCAACACAGTTCAACTAAAATCTAAGAAAAAGCATTGTCAAATATCAAATCTAACTGCATTGTAAGGTAAAAGGTAAACTGTGTTTACAATTTACTGTTAACTCGGATCTTTGGTTTAAAAAAGTAGAAGTATTATTAGTATTTGTATTATTAGTAAAAGACTAATACTTTTACTAATAATACTTATAGAGATAATACATCTTTTACTAATAATGCTTATAGAAATAGTACAGCACATTTTTGGAGTTTGAAAGATGATAATAAAACTCCTAAGGTGAAATGGAAAATTTTTAAAATGACAAGAACATGTAGATCCTTAACTCTGTTTTCTGTGTTTACATGAAAAATTGCAAATGATCACATTCTTTGATAAGAATGCTTTATTAAACCAAAGATCCAAGTTAACAGTAAATTGTAAACACCAATAAATTTGTGTCCAGGTTCTTACAACATTTCAGCTTTCTGTGTGTGTATATATATATATATATATATATATATATATATATATATATATATATATATATATTATTAGAGCTGTTGATTTCTGTTGGATTTTAAATTAGCCCAATTCAAGTAAATTATATTCTACCCCAGTGGGCGAAATAAAGGTTTAGTTCAACATTCCAACCACCTGAAGAAGGCCAGAGTGTACAACGGCCGAAACGTTGTAATAAATATGACAACAAACATGAGGACAATAGTCTGAATAATATAAATAGTGTACATAATACCTCATCTCTGAAATATAGACAGAT